GATTTGAATTGGTGACCCAGGGATGAAAGTTTCTGTCCTAGTGCCAGGACTTTGACTTGCTCTGCTGTAACAATAAATATCCCCCAAACCCCTTGGAGCTCCCAGCAATTACAGCCTTAAAATAAACTTATAGCATAGGATAGTGATTACCAAATGTTTCTTATTGTTTCCCCTCTGGGAGACATGTATCCCTCAGGAAATTAGGTTCTAATTACACAGGAGAAGCAGGGAAGTAACCGTAGTGTGGGAAAGCTAAATTAATAAAAGCTCCTAGGTGCACTCTGACCACCCCTTTTAGGGGAATGATTAAACATGAGTGGTCTGAGAGTTTTACTTTGTCTCTTCTTGAGGAATGCCTAGACCAGCTGGGGCAGAAGAGATTTGAGTAGACAAAGAGAGGAGAGAAATAAAGATGCTGTCAAAGACCCCAGGAAAAAGCTGCACTGAGCAGCATACAGGAATTCTTCAGCCTGCAAATCCCAGACCATGTGGTACCATCCTGGGCAGGGCTGAGATTCTAATACATTGGGAAAGTTAATAAAATAGATGCGCATCCTTTATCCCCTTGAGGTGCTAACCCAACTCATTTCAGAGTCCAGTACTCCTTTCAAATACACAATATTAAGGAGTGAATCCAGTTCAAGCCAGTGCACTACCCATTCATGGAAAGCTGAGGCTGAAACACTCTTTGGGCACTGTATGGCTCAGAGAGCCTGAGATCAGGGAGGCTGGAAAGCCTTTTGGACAATAACACACGTGATGGTTCATCATGCCAGCTGGAATCCCCAGGGCTGGCTTTGTTTCTGTGAGTGCAAGAGGAAGTCCTCTCCATCCCTTGCTTGTACTTGTTTCATTTCCCACAGTACATACCATTTATAAACCTTGGGAATGCAAGTAGTCCCTTGGAAAACATCTCACATCTCATCCATGCAACAGTGGTGTCCAGAGCAGAAAAATGGCTGCAAATGCACTCAGCCCCCCTGGAAGTGAATGTCAGGGTCTACCTCCACTCAGGTGCTGCTGAAGGACAAAATCTTCAAGCTGCAATTTTCTGGGCAAGATGAGGCTCATCCTTTTTCAGAAAATGTCTCCCTTGGTTTGAAATTCATTGCCCTGGTGGAAGATACATCAGGATATGAAGAAATGTGCCCTGAGGTGGGAGCCAAACCAAGGATGTCACATACCTAAGCACCCATACTGCAGTTTGCATGTTTGCAGAGTGGATGTCAGGTTGCTTATGGGGAACCCCTGTGAAGTCTTGCTATGTAATTTACTCAATATTAAAGAATGGAGAAATCAAATTTGTGTTTGTACATAGCTCAGAAGCAAAGAAGACAGTAGAATAAACAGTGACATAAAATAAGAATAAAAAGAAAAGAATAAAACTCTGAGAAGAGGATAGGATTTAATTTTAAGTGAGAATGTTGCCTTTCTCTGGGCAGAGGAGTGCTTTGTTTTGAGATGGAAAACACAGTAGTCCCTGTATCACTGAGGATGTTTTTATTCTGAAGTCAGGCAAACTATTTTTGCTCAATTTATGCTTAGCCTGCAAATTGAAGCAAATTGCAGGGATCCCAAAACTACTCATACCAAAGTCAAGAAAGACAAAATTAGCTTTGTTCTCTTGGAACCAAAGCCACAGGATCTCAGCCTGTCACAGCTGTCCTTAAGATAACAAAATACTCTGTTCTTAGGATTATGCTCACCATTTTGATCAAATCCACAGTTAAAATCTATGGTTGTTGCACATTTAGTTAATCAGCACTCATCTTAAATTCCCAATATATACATTTATGTTATTCTTGTACTGCACAATTTGCCAGATGGGCTTTTATCCTTGAGATACACAGTGAGGAGCATCATCACCTCTCCTGGCAGTGCCAAACCACACTGCTTAGGGATTCTCTTTGGGTATTAATTGAATCTGAAATGGTAGTGCCAGCAAAACATCAGAATTTCAGCAACATATGTTGAAATGGCATCAATATAGGCTGTATATATAGATAATATGTTCAATCTGCCTCTTGGGGAATGAGAATTTAAGCTTCTACTGATGCATTCTATCCTAAAGGTTAGGGTAGGATCAGAGAGCAAATCATCACATTGGCATATGGCAAGGATTTACTCTCCTGCAGCTGTAATTATGTTCATTCTGGCTGGTGAGAGTGCAAAATAAGACAGGACACATTCATAATAGCTCAAGCAAACCCGTTTTACTTTGCTGTTGCTGCACATGAGAAGTTTTCATTATGTTAGAGAAGGGGTTACCTGTTCAGGGCACACAAACCCAATTGCTCATGCTCTTTTGTAGTTACTCCTAAATCATCCTGCCTCAGGGTAAGACTCTTCTCCAGCAGAAGAGAATAACAATTGGTTTTCTCTACTCTAGTAGTACATAACCACCAGCAATAAGTACCTGCAGTGTCCCTCGAGAACCTGTTTCACAGCCAGTGGGGTGTTGCTATTTCCCAGCACTCAAACACGGGTTTTTCGTGAGTACAAAGACTACAGTGCTGGTCTTCAGCAAGGATAAATTATTTGGAACAAGATTAGACATTAACACCAGCAGAGCACAAATGGGAAAATCACTGGACAGAAGCACTGAAAATTGCCTGCAGCACTGATTTGTTATTTAGCGTCCTCCTGCCCTGTGGTACCAACTTCATCCCTTTAATGTGCACCAACAGTAACTCAAATTTAGCTGTGGCTGGGTTTTCTCCCTCTATGTTTTCGTATTTATTGATTGTTAACACAATGCACAGAGCACAAAGAGGAAAAAAATATAACTGTGGAGAACAGTGGTGCTTCTCTCTCTGTTCCATCCTGGATTGTTATTCACACAGATAAGAAAATGTAGCCACCTGCCATTCCCCTCATGCTTAGACTGTCAACTTTCTGGTTCTGTATTTGTAAGGCACAATAAACCAGCAAATAACAGGGTAGCTGACCAGCATGATCAAAATCTGCAAATGTCTTGAATTTTCATTTTGCTGAATTGATCCTGGTCTGTGTTGCATAATCCTGGGCTGTAAAAGGTAGCTGTTCTTAGAAGGATCAACCTTCTTGAGCTATTTTCCCCTCTTGTTAACAATTTCCATCTCATTTCCTATTTCCGGCTCTAACTCCTGCCGATAATGCTCCTCAGCTAATATTGAAACCAAGAGGGAAAAATATATGAATAGTAGACATCCGATCCAAGCTTTGTGTGTGGAATTTGGGGATGGAATGTTCTTGAGAACAAGACGGGTTTTTTAAATAGCAAAATACTGCTTGTTTAGGAAGAAAATTTGCACTGACACCTATATGTGGTACTGCTGATGTTTGTTCCCACAGTGCTCTTAGGTCAAATATAACCATCCCCTTAGAATGCTTTTTTCCTTTTTTTTTTCCTTCTTTTTTTTTTTTTTGTTTTCACCAAGATGTTCTCCATGCAGAGTGTGTCTGCATGGCACTTTGCTGCACAACTACAGCTTGTACAGATACTTTGATGCCAGCTTAAGAAGGTGAACTTGCAAATGCCATAGCAGTCACCAGCTGGGTTTGTGATGTCATGCAATGCTGTCTTTCAGTCTGCAATATTGGCCTGCTATGCCCTTGCCTCCTACTCTGGCTCCTCCATCTCCTGCTGTTCATCAGTTGGGTCAGCAGTATTTTGTACAGTTGTTCCAAGCCACACTCAGCCCCTTCACTTCCAGAAAAGACATTTTATCTGCACCCCTGACACAGTTCTTGGTGCATGGATGGTTGTGCAGGTTATCCAGCTGCAGGTGGAAATGAGCAGCCGGGGCAATAAGTGCACGGGGAAAGACCCATCCCCTCCTATACAATTGCAGCTAGAAGTTATTCAGAACTAATCTGGCCATTTCTAGGTGAGTTCCCTGCTGTTCTTTTTGCAGAAGAGATAAAAGCAAATATATTATTTCTGTAATGATGAGTACCCATGCAAGAGGTGGGCATGGGGAGTCCTCCCTGAGCAGGGATCATGTGAGGGTCTCTCTGTGCAGCAGTTTTGTAACCTACCCTGGAAATACATCAAAGAGGCCTTGGCTATGAAAGGCAGGAAGGGAGTGGTCTGAGGAACTGCAGCTACACCAGCGAGTTGAGCAGAGCCAAGGAATGTCCTCAGGCATTGCACTCAATTGTGCTGTTAAATTGTCAGTCCCTGGCCAGCAGAGAGCCTGGGAGCTGGCTGGGGCTCAGCACTGAGCCCAGGGCTGCTTGGACGTGTCCCTCCCTCCTGGAGGACTGTGGTATGAACACGGGCAGTTGTGTCCCTGTGGGCTTCCATGCTCCAGAGGGAGCCACTCTGGGCATGAGCAATGGGATAGGCAGCTGCTGGTAGGAAGGAAAAACTGGATTGTACTAATTCATTTTTTTGGTATTAATATTCCCAGATTTCTCTGTAATAAAGCAGAGGGCATATATGGCTCAGAGTCTCATCTGCAGCTCTGGAAGGGGAGTTTGGACTTTACAGAGCCATCCAATCTCATGCTGTCTGAAGATATGTCTCTCCTTTGTGTTTAAGTCAGTACTTGCTTGGGGCTCAGAGTTTTTTTCCACTGGATATTCAGCTATTCCAGGACTGTGTTGCACAGGGGGAAGTTCTGCTTGTGTGTAACACTGTCCAGGTCTGCCTCTACCTCTGCTGGTGGCCCTGGCTGGCAAAGACAGGTCCCCAGGGCATGCTATGGCTCAAATTCAAGTGGGCACCTTTCTCCTGCAGGGTCCTGGGCACCCCCTCTCTGTGGCTGGTTTCATGGAGCACACTGAGGGGAAGTGGATAACATTTGTTGGGACCAGGATTTCCAGAAGCAAGCCTTCATTTGGGTGCTACAGCTGGATGTCCTCACAGACTGATACAACCTGTGGGAAGGCTCTTACACCTCAGCTTCACCTGAGCCAGGTGTTTATCAGTGTGGAAGGAGGTGGGCCCAGGGCAGCATGCCCAAACCCAGGTTAATTAGAGCCAAGGGATGTTGAGTGGGGCCTCCTGGTTTGTGAGAGCCTGAGAATTCTGACCTGTGGGAGTAATGAAGGTGAGTGTGGGGGGAGCAAGGCAGATAATGGAGAGCTTTTGAGCTGAGATAAAGCTTTGCCACGTGGTGAGCCAGGGAAGATGTTTCAGGCTTGTCTGCAGCATGTGTGACTGAGAGAAGACAATGCTCAGCTGCCTGCAGTGAAACGGTGCCAGTTGCTGGATACTCCTATGTCCTTTTGATTTTTGTAACTCCAAACCCAGATGAGTCCCATTCTGAAACTCAGCAGTGAAGGTCAAAACCCTTCTTGTGTGAAATGACTTGTCTCCTGTTTTTCCCTAGCAAAGCACACAGGTGATCCTTAGGGCTCCAGGGAGTCTCCAAATCACTTGTACCAGGTTTTGGTTGCTTTGATCTTAATACTGCAACATGCCCTGAGCCCAGCAGATTTGCCAGAATTGACAGGGCTGAGTCTTTAGCAAAGCTCTTTACTGACTATTCATTAGCCTATGGTTGTGTTCCAGTAGCTGAAAAATGCTCTTCTTCCAGGGTAACAAGTGACAGGAGAAGAGGAAGAGTCCTCAAGTTGTGTCACGGAAGGTTTAGATGGGATTTTAGGAAACATTTCTTCACTGAAAGGGTGGTAGAGCCTTGGAAAAGGCTGCCCAGGGAAGTAATGGTGACACTGTCCCTGGAAGTGCTCAAAAAATAGGTAGACATGGCACTTTAGGGACATAGTTCAGTACTTGGCAGTGCAAGGTTAACAGATGGACTCAATGATCTTAAAGATCTTTTCCAAACGAAATGATTCTGTGCAAATCTTCCCTGGAGCCCATGGCAGGGGGGAAGATCAGGCTGGAGAGTGAGGAATGGGGCTGGGAGGCAGTGGAAGAGGTTGCAGAGATGCCTGTGAGAAAGAGAAAGGAACTGGGGCTTCCCTGCTGGTTCAAGAAGGGCACAGGACGCCAGATCTAGAGAGTGATTGTTTTCTTGACAGTCTTCCCCAGAAGACAGGCATTTGGGATGAGCTTCAGCCCGAGCTGTGGGACAGGAGCTGTGGGGCTCTCTGCTGGGGAAGCTCAAAGGGGCTTGTGGACAGGCCTGAACTTTCTCAAAGTCTTTTGGAGATGTGTGGAGCTGAGTGGGAGAAGCACAAGGAAAATCTGCCAGCTGCAGCAGCTCCTCTGCTCATTGCCTAGTTTGCTGCTCATGCTGGGCCCTCAGCCCTGGCAGATTCCACCCATCAGTGTAGGATGTCCTCTAGGAGAAGGCATCACCAGGATGCTTTGCACCCCTGAAAGTCCAGAAGAAACACTGCTGGCAGGGCCAAAGACATAATTTTTCCAGTACTCCTTGCATGGACAAGAGTGGGCAGCTTCTGCCTTTCCAACCTCTTCTCAGATGCCTCAGGCTGTGAATGTCCCCATGAATCATGAGAGGGGTTGGGAAACAATATTTACTTTCCTGGAGCCTGAAAACAACAGAAAGGACATGGAAGAACAAAAACCCCTCCTGAGACAGGATGTGCAAATCTTATATCTGCCTAAATCCAGGAAAGAAGCAAGACTGTGGATGCCTCATGTGGAGCAACCCCAGCACAAAGAACAGCGGCCACAAAATTTGTTGTTGACCCATCTTATGAAAAGCTGAAGAGCTGCCAAGATGGGTGAGAACAGGGGACCCCAAACTGGGCTCTGAAATGTCATTTTGGATACCTGAGAAAGCAAGAGGCTCCTCAAACACCCTGACTGCAGTGGGTGCTGGCAGTGCTTGCTACAGAACTGCTTCCAGGCTGAGCACTCTTTTTTTTTTTTTTTTTTTTTCCATCAGAATTTGCCAATTCCTTACAATGGAAACACTGCAGGGTTGTATCACTGCTGTGACTGCGAGAGAAGCCAGGCTGTTTTGTTACCCAATTCTTTGGCTCCTCACAGCCCACCCTGGCAGGGTCTGCAGAGCCAGAGCCTCCATCCTCCACATTAACCCTTCACCCCATCCCGACACCTTGAGTCCTTGCTCAATGGCCAAGCTCCTGCTGGCCTGTAAAGGGGAAGCAGTGGTGTAGTTTTCTGCTCCCCAGTTTGATAGTTTTCTGGCTCAGGAGCTGGTGTGACTTTCTATCTGATTGTGCAACTTTTGGGAAGTCAACCAGGGATTAATTTCATTTCTGTCTTCACAGGATGGCTGGGAGATGCTGGGTCAGGACTGCCTGCTTTCCTACTGGAAGCTGGTCTGTTTCCAGGCAAATGGTATGTAAATGGTATCTAGAGGGATGCTATTAAAATTACTTAATCTAAGGAAATATTTTCATGAAATTGTCTTTCAAGGGGGAGCACTAAGCTTTTGACTTGAAGCTTTCACAAAATAAATGTCTCCATGCAAAAGCCACTTCCCTTGGGCCAGCAGTGGTGGGAAACCAGAGTATTTTGATTTCAGCAGGATGTCACAGCAGCAGCTTGAGGATCTGGTTGGGTTGCTTCCTACCTTTTTTCCCTGTCAGGGACAAGATACCTGGGGCCAAGGGCTCAGGGGTAAAATCTGATTTTCCCTTTTTTGAGACCAGGTGGCTCATGCCCCAAACTTGCCCCCCACCAGCATTTCCAAATTGAAGCAGTTTTCTGTTTCAAACTTTGAAATTTTCAACCCCAAACCTCGGTTTTCCTGCAGATCTGAAGGGCCTGAGCAATTGAAAGCTTATTTTGGCTGAAATTCAGAGCAATTCTGTTCACAATCACTTCTCTTAATAAACAACATTAACATCTGGTGAGAAATCCCTGGGCTGAGCACAACGTAACTGCAGCACCATGCTTGAGCTGAGCTCAGCTTGATCCAGAGACAGAGCAGTGTGAGCTGAGCCAAGAGCAAGGAGGGGAGAAAACAGCAAATGGAAAAATTAATTGCATGGTAAAAAACTCTAACACTCCAACTTCCATCATCTCAGGGGTTCAAAACTGGCAGGGAGTCTTTAGTAAACTAATTAGTGGCTATGGCAAATTGTGGAAGAGTCTGTAAGTTGTTGTAGTTGAATAGAAGTCAACAGTGTCTGATTTGCAGTAGCCAAAACTCTTGCTCATGATTTTGCATTGCACAGCTTTATGAACAGTGGAAGTTTTTTACCATTTCTCTGTTAAGATATTGCTCATTTTGAATGAGTCTTTCTCTTAGAACTTTAATTTAGATAGAATTTCGTTTCAGATATATGAAATTAAAACATATTTATATGAGTTATCTCTATAATAGATTAAAAAATAAGTTTACTCAGAGCCCTAAATTAGCTATGAGAGTGCAGACACCTCCCATGATTTAGGGATTTAATTTGCTGCTGCTTGGAGGGGTGCAGCAGTAGGTCAGGCTCTCCAGGTTGCGTGGCACAGCACAGGGACAATTGCCAGTGTAAATAAACTTTGCCTGGGTCTCTTTAAGCAACATTTCACTCTGAATAATCCTGGTGATTTAGCTCCCACTAGAACATTAGTTTTAGTTCCACTTTGCTTTATTGCTGCCATGCTTAATTGATTCAACACCAGGATGGAACTGCATAATGAGGCTACTTAAGTGTAATGAAACCCTTGCATTGTCAAAAATGAAACGTTTTGTCTTCAGATTCTGGAAAGATCTCTAATTAAACACTTTTAAAATTAGATATATGCAGACATAGGAATTTTTTTAGTCCTCTAGTTCTGTAGCTTTTCATATTTCCTATTTCATCCAGGCCATTCTCCAAGTAATTCCTTTGTTAATTCAAATTTCAGAGGCCTTGACTTTTTTTTAATTTTTTTTTTTTTTTTAACATTCAGCTGTGGAATCTCTCTGCTTGGAGATGTCTATCACTGAGAGACACTTGTTTGTACTGTGTAGGTTGATGTCAGCTGCCTGGTTGCCTCCTGACAAGTCCTTGGAGGCTGCTGCTTATTTTTCTTTTTTTGTGATAAAATAAAATAAGCTGTTCAGGAGGAGGCTGCTGCATGCCCCACACCAAGGCCTCTTTGCTGGCCACGTGGGAATGGGTTTGTAGTGGGAGACCTGAACTAAACTGCTTGGTCCCAATGTGTTTTTCACCCTCATTGAACACCTCGTGAAAAGGGGGAAAAATTCAGTTTCTATAGGAAAATAAGCCTGAATACGCCTGTTACATCTTTATCTTCTTTCCCTGTGTTTCCTGGCTCTGGAGCGGCAGAGCGAATTTGGCTTTCTCCACCAGGTGGTACTATTAAGCTGTGTAGCGGGAAGATTTGCTCCCTCCATCCCAAACCCACCCAGTTATCCCCGGCGGCTGAGGCTTTCAAATAATTTCCCTCTTGGTGTACTGAAGCTAAGGAGGGGCCCCGGTTAATTGCAGCTGAATGAGGGCATTCAGGCCCTGTTCCCCTTCTCACTGCAGATCAAATATTGATTGATTGATCAAAGGATTGATTTTTCCCCCACCCCAATTTCTAATTAAAAGAATGGTCTGGAATCTTCTGATGAGCCCATACTCATGGTGGGCCCTTGGGATTGTTGCTTTTATGAAGATATTTTCCATATGAGCAGTGTAACTCCCTGATAGCTGTGGAAGATGCACCAACGTGCCTGAGGACAGAGCAAGGTTTTGACACAAGTTTGTGTTCCTAATCTGATGTTCAGCTTTCCTTGGGTGAGGTGGATAGCATGTCTGGGCTCTGCCTGCAGTGACAGGATGGGATGCTGAGGTTCCTGTGTGGGTTCTCTCATGCAGGGCTAATCTGTCCATATCTCAGACAACTTTTGCTCTTACCTAGATATCTTGTCCAGGAAGACTACTGAAGGTGGTTTTTTATGAATTTAGTGCCTCTGATGCCTGTGATGGCCCAGTGGCTGTGTATGGGCTGCTGTGTGTCCCCAGCTCCCTGGCACAGCCACAGGGCATGTCCTTGTGTGGCTCTGTGCAAAAAGCCAGAGGCACTTGAGAAACCTCTCTTGCACAATAATTCTGTCAAGCTGCAGACATGTCAGATGTAATGTTGGTATTGTTCACCTGGGAGGGAAGAGGACACAGGTACATGGAGAGCCAGCTGCCTCACTGCTATTGAACTATTAAAATGCTACAGGGGCAGTGCAGTTGCTGATGTTGAAGACTCAACCCCTTAAAATCTGAGGACAATAGCATTGTCTGAAATATACTGCAGCTCTCAGCTCCACAGGTAAATTGTCAGCAGTGTGCTCCATCCACTGGGATTATTTATAGACTTGCCCAGGTAAGCATGATCCATATTTTTTTGTGCTTAGTCAACCATGAATTTGTGTATGTCTGAGCAAACGCAGTCCTTATCTACTGCTGACTGTCCACATGTGCCCTTTGAGCACTTCTCTGGTCCTCTTCTTATGGAAAGGGCTTTGCATGTGCTGTGGTGGGCTGGCTGACACAGGGTTTCTGCTGTGAGGCCAGTGCTGTTTATAGAGCTGGAGTTCATTTGCCACTGGGGTGATGAAAAGACACTTAAACTGGAAGATCAGGTGCTTTCCTGGGCATAACCAGCTGGCTGGCAGAATTTGGATAGTTGGAGTATTGTCAGGACTGCTTTTGGAGAGTTGCATCTTCTGGGAAGACTCTGTTTTTTTGAGTCACCCCCCTTCACATGATGTTTATGACACTGTGACAGTCACACAAAAGCCCTGTGATCAGAAGGACAGCACAGACAGCATGAGGGGCTTTGAAGAACAAGCCCTGATGTAAACCAGTTCTGCTGAGCAGGGAAAAACTCCTCCAGATTTGGCCAAGTGGTGGCATAATGTGCTAGGTTACCCCAAGGATCCAGATGCCACAACATAAATCTGTTGTTGCAGGACTGAGAAAGTGATTTTTTTTTCTTTCATTTTATTAGCCATGCAAATTATAAAAACTGTCTAAAAAACCCATAACATAAATCTGCTGTTGCAGGACTGAGAAAGTGATTTTTTTCTTTCATTTTATTAGCCATGCAAATTATAAAAACTGTCTAAAAAACCCAGTGGACTTTGTCATAAAGCATTGAGGATGGTCTTGCATCCTTAAACTAGTGGATAGGGTAAAAAGAGGATCTTTTGTCCCCTCTCCTTCACCAAAATCACACTGTGAGATTTATGCTGGTGATTCAACAGAGAGGGGAATGAAATACTACCGTGAGTCTCCAAATTGGTCATTTTCCCCTGCTGTCTTGTGAAATGGTGGTAATTTGTAAATGAGACATCTGTTGCTACTTGGGTTTGAATACTCTTTTTTTTTTTTTTTTGGCATTGGCACTGTGTGATTGTATGATTGTGTGTGGTGATGTTGGTCTGTGGAGGAAGGAGAGCACGATCTGCTGCATCGGGAGATGCAAGGGAAAAGGGGCTGTTGATGAAGGAGCAGTGGCAATCACTGGGAATGTTTTTGCAATGTATAGATGGAGAAATCTTCCTTTCCTTTGTCATTAGGGGTTTGTCAGAACTTGGCACAACCCTAGTCAATTTGGATTACATTATTTTTTAATGGACCATCCTGCTGGATTCTGAGCCCTTCCTGTGGTTCTGCACAGGGTGTGCACTCTTAAAGTGGAGCAGGGATACCTGCAGAAAGACAATTGCTGAAGGCTGAGAGCCCTCTTGGGGCAGAGAGTTCACAGCAGGAGCTGCGATGTCATCTATAACTGCCCATTCCTGCTTCCTCTCAATTTAATTTCTTCCTGGCTTAATTTGCTGGTGCCCTGTCCATAACCCCACTTTTCCCTGGTGTCGTTTCTCTGTGTTCCATGCTCTGGCTGCATCTCCTCTGCTGCATTTGGGGACCAGTGGAACGAGTTTCACAAGTTTCTGGCTGCACAATGCTGATGTGCCAAAGGGATTTGGTTCCCACGTATTGATATCTGTGTTGCAAGTGGTGGGGTCATGGGTTGCTTTTGCCTTTGGGACTCCTTAGTACCAATCCTTTCACTCTCCTCTTAAATTTCTATTCCTGATGTGATCATTGTTTTAGCAATAACCACCTGCAGCATTTCTCAACATAATCATATTTGTGTGTCTGGCTATAGCTTTTCTTTAGGCTTAAACAGCATAAAAAAATTCCTTACAGCTGAAATGTTCCTTTTTGATCTAAGGATTTATCATGCTTCTTTTACTGTGCATTTCCCCCAGATATAGCAGGTGATCTATATTATCCCTTTTATCCTATTCTTTTCCTATTCTTTTCTTAAAAATTGGAAAGAGCTGGTATTTCTTCAGTGCAATTGCACAACAGAGGAAGGTGTTACCAGCATCACTTTTGGCTTGCAGTGCTCAGAACATTGTGCAAAGCCCCAGTGGGCTCTGAGTGATCTTTAACATCTGATTACTGGGGTTTGGTAACAAATGCACCCACATATCCCTATTGAACAGCACATAAATGAGTGCCACTGATATTCTCTAAATAAATACTTTGGTTTAAAACCTTTTCCTCCCTGGTGAAATGGAGTCTGGTGTTTTATGGAAGAAATTCTTCCCAGTGAGGGTGGTGAGGTGCTCAGGTTGCCCAGGGAAGTTGTTGATGCCCCATCCTTGACAGTGTCCAAGGCCAGGTTGGATGGAGCTTGGAGCAACCCGGGATAGTGGACGGTGGGAGGTTTGGAACCTTCCAACCCAAACCATTTCTGACTCCATGATTCCAGGCTGCTGCTCTGAAGAAACTACACGGGAATAATTTTTACCTGGTTTGACTGGGCAAATGCAATCACCGTTGCATCACCACCAGTTCTTTGAAACTGAGCTCATTTGCTGGCCTTGAACTGGTGCTGCATGGAGAGGGTGAAGGATGAAGGGGTGTGGGCAGGAAAGTGTCATGGACATCTCTGGTGCTTGGCAGGCTCATGGGTGTGTCAGCCAGCACAGGGCCAGTCACTGCACAGAAGCATTGAGCTCACCCTGAAATAAATAGCCTATAGCAAATGTAGGCACCAGGAGGAAAATCCTGCAAATGCTCCTAAGCTCTGTAATTCCTTATAATTTTTAGGAACTGGTTATCCTCTGCTTGCAAACAGCCTGCAGGATTGGCCACTGCCTTCACTGCCAAACAGTAAGCATTTGGTACAGTAATAAGAGATTTTAAATGGAGACAGGAAGCACCCCCCCATCTTTTGAAAATGTGGCCAGACCCCACTTTCAGAAATTTCTTGTCTATCCCTTAAAAATAATAAGGTTTTTTTTCCTTTTACTCCCCAGATCTCATGTTTAAGCCAAATAATTTGAGAATTTGAATTTCACAGATCACATCCATCAATCTGGATGTATCAATCAATATGGGAGTTATCAACCAACCAGCTCTATAATCTGTACATACCACGCATGCACGTATGGAATCATTAAGGTTGGAAAAGGCCTCTAAGATCATTGAGTCCAATTACTTAATTAACCTACCACTGCAAGGTCCACCATGAAACCATGCCCCTAAGCACCACATCTACCTGTTTTCTGAGCAGTTCCAGGGACTGTGATCTCACCACTTCCCTGGGCATACTGTCCCTCAAGACAACTGTAGCTGGATGCCTGAAAGCTTGCTTTATTCCACCAGAAAGTGAGCTGTGAAAGTATCAGACTGCTGGAATCCTAGGGAGAGCACCAAGTTGAATCTTCAAATGCAGCCTGTGCCTTCATGGTACAGGGACTTGTTACCATTCTGCAATGCTACAGCCTCTAATTCTGTGGCATAACTCACCTTCTGTCCCTCAGCCTTTCTGGCAGCTGCACAATGTAACTGTAATTGTTGCTTTTCCCTTATTTTTATCTTTCTTAGCCACCCATCTCCCTTGCAGGCTCCTGCCTGATCTCCTGTGGTGAGGTATTCACACCAAACAGTGAAGGTGCTACCAAGGATCATGTGTTGGTGATCTTGTTTTGCTTGGGTACCCTTTGGGTATCCAAGGCCTGTCTCTTGTGCAGTGGGGAATGTGACATTTCCCTGGTGTGGAGGGTGTCAGAAGAACTAGTTCTGGAAGGGCTGTGAGCTAACAGACTGTGCAGCAAAACCGGGGCAGTAGGAGCTTTTCTTCAGTGTCACAAACCCTCTGCTCAGCTCTTTTCCTGTTGAGAAATTCTTCAGGGTTCACAGAGTGTTTCCTAGAAAGCAGCTTCAGTTTTGCAGTTTCAAGAACTAAATGAGTGCTTTTGTGTGAGGCTTTCCGTGCCATTTTGGGGGATTGATATCTTACTCACATCTAAGGAAAGCTGTACAAAATTACTGCTTCAACATACACAAACAAAATGTTTTTGGCTTGAAGTTTTGGCCAAACTGATGGATTAATGATTCTCAGTCCTACTTGTACACTGAAAAGAGCTTTATTTTCCCCCTGTAGGATAAACCCTGTAACTGAGAGAGGTGTATGTTTTCCAAGAGTCAAACTGACTGATAGCTCATACTCTATGTGCAAGCTGTGGTCACTTGGTTGAGACCCATGGTTTTTCTCACAGCCACAGCTGACATTTGTTCTCACATGTAGCAGCTTCAAAATTGGGTTCCTACAGAAACTTGGGCAACACATTCTTCTTAGTGCATTACACAGAGCCAGTTTGCAATACTAATAATTAAAAAAACCCCAACAGAGTAGTTAAGTGTCATATGCAGATTGCTCACTGGAGGTGACTAAGTGGCCTAATGATCCCTCTTCTTTTGGTCAGAAACTTGGCTCTCAGGACTGAGTCATTACAGGAAATGGAAATATTATAAGCAACACCTGGAAAGGAGGTTCTGGTTGTAGAGTGCAATTCAAAATTTAAAAAGCTTCTTGGTAATGGATAAGCTGAACTGTTTGAAGTTCAACACAGGCAAACAGAGGGTTCTGCAGCTGGGGAAGAATAACCCCAGCTCACTACAGGCTGGTGACTCACCTGCTGGGAATCAGCTCTGCAGAGAAGGAACTGAGTGTCCTGGTGGAAAAGAAGCTCTCCAAGCAGTGCCATGGGGGACAAGAAGGCCAATGGTGCATTAGGGGTGCATTAGGGAAAGCACTGCCAGCCTGCCAAGGGAGGTGCAGCCACAGGCAGTTGTGGAGGCAGGATCAACAGGTCCAAGGAGGAGCTGAACAAACTCATTGACAGTAGAAGGTTTCAATGCTCACTGATGTACAAGTACTGGCTGGAAACATGGAATGCATTTCCCCTATTTGTACAGCTAAAGCTGGAACGTTAGTGAAGCAGGAATCTGAAATGACAGCGAGATTGCCCATGCAAAATTAATTCACAGCCTTCAAAGAAAATGTGTATGGGAAACATGCTGG